TTCAATTGTGATTTAGAATACATTTTTGTCTATGGCTTCAATAAAAAGGTCCAGTGCTAATGCTAAGCGTAAAATTATATCGCTGTAAGATAAGGTGGAAATGAATTATTTTATTCAGAATACTGTACATAAATATCATAAATACTGTAATAGGCAATGGGGAGTGCTTATTTGTGGTTTATAGTGTGGTTATTTCGACTTAAGTTGTTTTTTGACCTAAGTTGTGACCTTTGAAACCAATTAACAACAGGGTGAGGTATACCTGTACTTTTCTTTTTTTTTTACTAACTTCTGTAGTTTCCTATTTATGTCTGCTATCAACACTGTGTTATCTGCATATCTTGTGCTGTTAAATTTGTGGGTGCCAACAATGAATCCTGGTGGAATGTCTAATGCTTTTTTCTTTGTTTAACACTATATCAACTCCTTATGAGTCATTTAATGCCGAAATCTAGATAATTTTATCAATTTTATGGCTTCAACTAAATATATATACTTTATACTTTTAACCACAGATGTTTTTTTAAGGCAATTCACCCCAAGCAAGGCAGGAGAGCCACTAGCATGCAAGGGGTTACAGAAGATTGAGAACAAGAATAAAGAGGTGTGTTGTCTGAGGAAAGGATACAGAGAAGGATGGGGAACAAGCTCAGGGTGTCAGATGTTGATTGACATTACACTTGAATATTTGAAGATTATAGTCATCGGGGAAGCAAGTAAGGGGAAGGGAGTTCCACGGATGGGAAGTGGGGGAGAAGAAGCTGTTTGAGAAGAAGAGACGGTTACATTTAACTGTTTTGACAATGAAAAGGTGTGACCAAGATGCTACCCTGGTAGCTTGTTTAAATTCATGTAGTCTGGGAACCAGCAAAAGTAGCTTGTCAGAACAGTTGCAGTGAAAATATTTGTAGAAGAGACAGAGGGAAGCCACAGTATGTCCGTGAGATAGCAATTGTATACTGACTTGATGCCAGATCAGGACCTATCATCTTGCATATTCGTCTCTGGATTTTGTCAAGGACCTTAAGATGTACAGCGGGAACACCAGACCATAAATGACAGCAATATTCCATGTAAGGATGGATGGTTGATTTATAGATTTGAAGGATGGACTCGGACAAGAAAAACTTTCTGACATGACACATAGAACCAACTTTCCTTGTGGTAGGTGAAGCTATTGATTCAATGTATTTATTATTCACCCTCTATTGTCTTCATCTTTATCGCCATATTTATTATAACGTTTCGGCCGTTGTACACTCCGGCTTTCTTCAGGTGGTTGGAATGTCGAACTGAAACTTTTATTTCGCTCACTGGGGTAGATTGTTCTAGTTCCACATGCCATGTTTAATGGCTGTCAGTTATCAGTTATCTCCTGTTAATTCCCCTCTCCAAGTTCTCCACTGCCTTAACCGGGTATTGAACTCACATTCTTCTGGGTCCTGTGACTGGATCTAACCAATGCCTTTATCCACTGTGCCATGTGTCCTTGAGGACACATGGCACAGTGGATAAAGGCACAGTGGATAAAGTTCGACATTCCAACCACCTGAAGAAGGCCAGAGCATACAACGGCCGAAACATAATAAATATGGTGACAAAGATGAGGACAATAGTCCAAATAATGTAAATAGTGTTGGTCATTTTACTATAAATATGTGTTGTTGGTGCTTTTTTTATATATAAAAATAAGTATTGCTGGTATTTTTATTATAAAAATGTATTTTTATACATTCATAGTGCTTTGTTTGGGGGTTCTCTATTTACTCATAGCTGGGACCTTGACAGGTGGTACCACCCCAGGTCAGGGTGGACCTAGGAACAACAACAACAATTAAAAGGTGGTTCCATGTTCCTCAAAACTTCCAATCTTGTGATCAGAGGCTTTGCTGCCAGATGTAGGATGTCTAATTCTCTAAGAATCACCTTTTTGTAAAGGTTGAATAAGTCTGGTGAAAAGACACATCCTTGTCTTATGCCCACTTCTAATTTTGTGTATTTAATGAATTCATTTCATATCCATAGGCAGATGGATTGCTACCACTAGATGTTCTGAATTATTCTAATATCCTTCCCAAATCAAACGCAATTACTATTTACATTATTTGGACTATTGTTCTCATCTTTGTCACCATATTACAATGTTTCGGCTGTTGTATGCTCTGGCCTTTTTCAGGTAGTTGGAATGTTGAACTGAACCCTTTATTTTGCTCACTGGGGTAGACTGTTCTAGTTCCACATGCCATGTTTGATGGATGTCAGTTATCGCCTGTTAATTCCCCTCTAAGTTTTCCACTGCCTTGACCGGGTATTGAACTCACACTCTTTGGGTCCTGTCACTGGATCTGAAGATGAGGACAATAGTATGAATAATCTAAATATTGTACATAATACCTCATCTTAGAAATATAGACAGATACACAATTACTATGTCACTAAATTTCAACATTTTCATCCATCAGAGTATTGTCCCAGATATAAATAATGATAATGCCTCATACCAGAAGTTCAGGCAAAAGGTGACCAAGTGATAACAACAACAAAGAGGAGGACAATAGTCCAAATATAAATAGTGTAAATAATGATAATACCTCATACCAGAAATTCTGACATTATTGAGGGGTCATAAAAGATGACATTATTCATATCACTGCTTCATCACCTTTTTCATTGAAACATTTTTTTGTGTAATATTCTTTCAGGATATTAGGCATTGTGACTCTCCACAGATTCCTTTTCTTTTTATTATATATGAATTGCCAGGTCTTTTTGGGAAAGATAGGAGAGTGGTTTCCCATTGCCTTCATCATGGTTTGGAATTTGGAGTTGTACTTCTCTAAACTAGTGCCGTCTGAGGCTAGAGAACCAGGAAAGATCAGTACAAAAGCAAAACACCACAGAGTGATCTGGAATTTGAAGTCAGCTCATCTCCTTTCAATTTAAACAGTATTTTTTTGTGACAAGTCTTTTCAGGACATTGATGATCATGATCTTCCACAGATTCTTTTCTTAGTGGTTTCTTATTTCTTTTAGATTTCTCTATGGGTTTTCATCCAGTATAGTCCTTCACTTAAACTAGCTGCCAGCCAAGGCTAAAGAAATCAGTTATTTAACCCATAGATGGGAGAAGTATTCATGCCTTTCACTAGAGCATTAGAACAAAAGTGAGCACAATTGACTAGACAGAAATTTGAACCTGGCTTGCCAATTCTATTTTCCTTGTTTGTGACTGTTATACTTACCACACATCCCTGGCCAGTAACTTGCATATATAAAAAGCCTAAATGAAGAGAATGAGATATAATCTCAGTTGGTTAAGTTAAGCTTCAGCAGTTTTGTTTTCATTTGTTTGGAGTATTTTCTAAGTCTAGTCTGAAGGGTATTGATGTCAAATCTAAACCAATCAAAATTGTATAAAACAATCAGTGTTTTGTTTAGCAATCTGATTGGTTGATTACCTTCTATCATTGTCTCCAGATTGGCTCATATAAATGGCCTATATTTGACAGTGAAAAACAGAAAGATAAAAGTTGAGTTTGATTTTATGCAGCACAGTTGATTAGAAATTTTCTATCTCCTTTGCTTTTGTTTTGTTGGAGAACTTTATAAAATGTCTAGTCCGTGTAGATCTAAAGGATATCATGACACATCTAAACTAATCAAAATTAGACAAGACATTATGCTGTAATCTGATTGGTTCAGTTATCAACAACTGTTGACTCCAGGCTGGTTAATTTAATGCTTAACATTTAGTCATGATCTTAGAATTTGTAAGGGACATGTGAATTTCTCTGATTTATTTTAAGATATGAAATAAACTAGCACTTCAATCACTAAAAACTCAACTATCTTAACTTGTACTCCCAACTCCTTGCCTTGAATGGTTGGTTGATTTTGTTTAGTGGCATATCAACCTATATGTATTATTTAAACAAGAAATCTAAATATTTTGAACACAATTTTATGGGTTTGACTACAGATTAAATGTTTTGTCGGTCATTTTGCTATAAAATGTATTGTTGGTCATTTTGCTTTAAAAATGTATTACTGGTAATTTTAATATGAATATGTTGGTAATTTTTTTTATATGAAAATATATTGCTGGTATCTTCATCATAAAAATGTATTTTTATACTTTCAGAGTGTTTTGTCTTTGTTTGGGAGGGGTGGTTCACTATTTGCCCAGAGCTGGGACCCTAACAGGTGCTACCACGACTAGGAACAACAGCAATTAAGAGGTGATTTTGAAACCTCCAATCTCCTGATGAGAGGCTTTGCTGCTGGGTGTAGTTTATTGCCATACCCAGGCCTGAATGGGACAAATAATAAGTATATACACATTTATATATAATTTCTTGTATGACATATTGGTATATAAAATTGTTTTGATCTCAATGCATGTTTGGTATGCATTTCTTTGAACTATTCTGATCCTTCCTTCTGTCAGGTTAAGGTACTAGTATATCTCGGATGCACTAATGCCTCTGATGGAGACTGGGGATAACCAAGATGGTTGTTCTCTATTTCCAAGTACACTGATATTGGTAAAGTGTAATTTCTGTGCATTCAAGGGACCAGGAACAAAAAAATATATTTTAAATGTAATTGTATGCTTTCAACTAGAGACAAAATGTATTGTTGGTCATTCTATAAAATTATATTTTTATACTTTCATCATGTTTTGTTTTTGCTTTCACTATTTTCCCATAGCTGGGGCCCTAACAGGTGCTACTACCTCAGGTCAGTGTGTACCTGGGGACAACAGCAATTAAAATATGGTTCTATGCACCTCAAAATCTCCAATCTTCTGATCAGCAACCTTACTGCCAGATGTTTATCATCATGCCGAGGACTATACCTTGAAGTTCATCTCAAATTTCAAGCTGGAAAAATATTCAGTTCTTTGTACTTCTCTCTTGCTCTATTCTTATAAGAGTCAAATTAACCAAAAAATACTACAATATCTGGACTGTAGCTGTTTCATCTACACTTTCCAGGGCTTACAGCCATATCATGTTGAAACACTGGTTCCTGTATGATCACCGAAGTTAAGCATTGTCGAGCATGGTCAGCACCTAGACGGTGAATACTTGGGAATACCAGATGCTGTAATGAATAATGGTTCAGAATTGTTAATCAGAGATCTGAGTTCCAATTCCCATCAAGTTTGTTATATTCACTTACACACAAATACCCTTGGGAAAGGTATGAATTCACTTGTTCTCCCCCTAGCTATGGGTTAATTAGTAAGACTTGTATCACTAAACCATTATTATCTCAAAAAAAAAAAAAAATTGCATACAAAATATTTGGCATTGAATAACCCATAGAGGTGTTCATATGCCACTAAACAAAAACAACCAACCAACTTTCCAGCCTTAACAGTGTTTAAAAATATTTATACAGACTTTTGTGCAATTAATTATTTTCAACCCTACAACCTTTTTGCTCACAGACAAAATATTGCAAATTTATTTCTAGTCTATCGCTATTTCCATGGCAAATGTTTATATGAGCTACATTCTTTAGTTCTACCAGTTCAAGACCTTTGCAGCTAAGCCTCTCTCTCTCTAGTTACATACCTAGCATTGAATCATCCTCATTCTTTTCATATTTTATTGGTTAAAAAGAAGTTCCACTTAGATAACTTTTTTTCAAGAACCGCAACATTACAGAGCAGTCTCCTGCAGGGATACTTTCCCCATCACTACAGTCTCAGTCTCTTGAAGTCTAGGGTAAGTTGTTATCTACCTAATCTACATATAATCAGCACCGCCTTCCTCCTTTTAAATCCATACAAAAAACTCATTCAGTAACCTCTACTTTGAGTGGCTTTCAAATTGGATGAACAAAAATCTGAATTTTAAACCTCTTTTAACAGTTGATATAAAAATCTGGATACTTTTACTAACTTCTTCATAAAATTTTGTTCAAGTATTGTAATTATGAAGTTGCACAAATCACAAAATAGAGATGATGGATTGATTTGTTTTTTAAGGTTTATCAACCCTTTGCAGCTAATTTAAAGCAAGAAAATATTTTTTTTTCCGATAATGATTTTAGTGATACAATTCTTACTAATTAAAAGAAGAGTTGGATTCATGCCTTTCCTATTTTCACGTAAGTAAACATAATGAAACCAACTGGAATTGAAACTTGGCTCTCTGATTAACAATTCTGAGCCATTATCTGCTACCAAAAATGCACATTCAAGCTTAGAACACCTTGCATTCCCGAGCAGTCACCCATCAAGGTAGTGACCAGACTCAACGTTGCTTAACTTTGACGATTGCACAGAAACCGGTGTTTCAATCTGATATGGCTGTAAGCCAAAATAGAGGTGATATATAGGGATATGAAAACAGTCTTTCAGCTAAACCAGGTGCAAGATTTTAATTAATACAACTTAAAAAGATAGGAAGCAGGTACCAAGTTTGAAGTGAGGCTCTACTGGGATTTGGTTCTTCCAGCCAAATGTGCTAATAACTTTCATTTATAAAGATGTTTGCACCTGTTTCATATTAACTGAAATTTTCCTTTTGTTCACATCACAGAGAAAAGCTGAAAGGAATAAAATCAGAGACATATACCAAAAAATCAAAAAATTGAAAAAAAAAAAAAAGAAAAAATTAACATAATGGATGTTGTCATGGAGAGAAGAACTGGGATGCTGAGCTCAAATTCTGAACTGAGGTCATTGCATTCACTTTCGCACAAATAACTTTATGAAAAGCACGAATCCATTTTGTCTCCTACCAGCTACAGGTTAAATAGCAGAGGAAATTTTTTTTTTGCTTTGGTTGGCAACTAGCCTAGAAGAAAGTTAACTCTGCAGTCAAAGCCAGTTGAACATGGTGCTGCCAACTTCACTCCATAAAAAAACTACTAGCTATGGAAATCAACACAATAACGCTAGTGTATTGAGGGTAAGGCCCTGTACATCCCAGAGTGAGAAAAATTTTTCTTTAACATAAGATATGCCATTAAGCCATGCATATAAATACAGAACTTGATTGGTTGTTTAGATTGTACTTGCAGAGAGCAATGGTATTTTCTGGTTTATCCAAAATACATGGCAATATTGTGATGCTGGGATTAATTATGACATTCTGGGTAATAAATACTGATTTTCACTATTAATCTTAAGGTAATCTTTATCACTGCTTTTTATCACAAATTTCTCAGTCAAATTCTATCCAACCATTAAATTAAATAGTGTAAGTATTTTCATTATTATTAATAGACTCATCTTTTTTTCATAATTTTGTTGCTTTTTATTCCAAGTTACTGTGTCAAATACTCTCCAACAATTAAATATAGCAAGTATTTTCATTATTATTAATAGACTTGTCTTGTCTTTTCTTCATCCTATTGTGGCTTTTTATTCCAACTATTTTCAGTCAAATACTCTCCAACAATTAAATTAGTGTAAGTATTTTCCTTATTAATCTAAGGCCATCTTTTCTTCATCTTATTGATGATTTTTATTTTTATTTTTTTGGTTGGATACTCTCTGTCCTTTAAATTATGTAACATTAGTATTTTTTATTATTAATCTAGGGCTAGTCTTTTCTTCATATTATTGTTGCTTTTTATTTCAACATTTACAGGTGAATACATTCCAACCTTTAAAATAAGTAATGTAAGTATTTTCATTATTAATCTAAGGCTAGTCTTTTCTTCATATTATTGTTGCTTTTTATTTCCACATTTACAGGTGAATACACTCTGACCTTTAAAATAAGTGATGTAAGTATTTTCATTATTAATCTAAGGCTAGACTTTTCTTCATCTTATTGTTGCTTTTTATCTCAAATTTCTCAGTCAAGGTAAGCAGCTTAAGTTTTCATTATTAATCTTGAACTGGTCATTTTTCCTATCTGTTATTTTTTACCATCCCTTTGTAGATTGAATACTCTAACAATTTAAAAAGCAAGCTTGATCTTCACTGAGCACTCAATTTCCATAGCCTTATACAAAACTAATATACACTGAATAAAACTGTAGCCACATGGAAATAACTTTTCATATCAATTTACAAGTGTCATGAGTTTGATCTTTGTTTACTTAAATAATGTGGCTTTGTGGCAGGCTCAACTTAAGTAAGTCTTTCTTGAGCTTTAGATAGCTATTTTTCATGATCAGCAGGAGTTGAGGTTCAAGCTCAGGTAACATTCTCCCATCCATATGCATGTTGTCATCAATGTATCCTGTGGGAGGCTTGGCAAAGAGAGTAAACATTAATAAGAGCTACTATAAGTGGTTGTGGATTGCCATAATTGCCCACATGGGGAGACACAAAACAGAATAAGAAGTTCTCAACTTCCACTTTGACAAATTCAGAGTGATTTTATGTCATTTGTATGAAATGAATATGATATCACAATGCTGTCCTGGGGTGGCCAAAACCTGAAATGCATACATTGAAATAGACTTTTAATTTAGAAATCTGGTTACTTCCTTTTATGTGAATTGTCCCTTCAGCATGTAGGTGACCATAGCTCTCCACTACTTCCTATCATTTGTGACTCTAAGTAATGTTTGTCACCTTATTATTCCTCCCAGTACTTGTTTTTGCTATCTATTTCCATAAGCTTGTTAGTAAAGTTAATTGTAGAGATAAAATTCTTAGATTATTAATTCAGAAAATATATAACCAATGCAACTGAAAAATTACTTATGTCATAATTTTTTTTTATTCATATTAAGTGAAAATAATAACATAATCAAGATGCTGACATTCCACACTACTTCAAATAAAAGGTTAAGAAGGAAACACCCGTCAATACTGGAAAGGGCAAAACCAGCAACTAGATTCGAGAAATTTACTTGAGAAATTGTTTTAAGAGAAAGTTTTTTTATAAATTTCAACAGTAATAGTCAGCTTGGTCAATGAATTCCAAATTTTTCCTTATAAAGGAAACAGTTAATATTACCATTAGAGATGAGAATAACAGATACTACACTTTGATCTCAACCTGATGGCCAGGGAGTGAAGAAAAGTGTAACTCAAGTAGCACTGGTTGTTTGGTCAATGAATGCTGATTCCTTATAAATAAATGGTTCATATTACTATTGTCATTAGAGATGAGAAGAACAGATACCACACTTTGATCTCAGCCTGATGGCCAGGGACTATAAAAAAAAAGCCTAACTTGAGTAGTACTGGCTTTTGGTCAATGAATGCCAAATGTTTCTTTATAAAGAAACAGTTAATATTACCATATTATGTACATTTGAACTATTATCCTCTTATTTGTTGCTATCATCACATCATCCGGATAATAACAACTAAGATGAGGATAACAGGGCCACATGTAAATAATATGGTAATATTAACTGATTTGGCATTCATTAATGGTAACTCTTTATTTTCAAATTCAAACAGAAAAAAATTGTCATTATTTGTTGATACTACATGTTATATTAGCTTTGTTATCTTTGAAAACTAAAATTGTTTCTTACATGTGATCATCTTTCATATGCAGTGTACATTCAGGGCATCATTGACAGGGTGTAGGTACTAATAGTCAAATGCTTTGACCAGATTGTCATCCACGAGTGAAAAACAAAATAATTTCTAGCAGTAAACCAGATTTTTATTCTTGGGTTGTAACTTACTGCCATAAGCTAGCGAAGTAAAGATGAGATGGAGGTGAGGGGAAGTTATTCACTGTTTTGCTCAGTCCCACTTGCCTTCAAGATGCCCTGTGAGTGTTAAATTCTCCAAACCCTCTTTAATCTGTTTCCTGAGAAAAATATCCTAAAATACAAAAATTACTATAAAGTGGTGCTGGGGCTTTTTAATCTCAGAATTCATGAGAGAATTGAGCTCCTTCTTAGCTATAGTGATGATGGCCAAACCAAGAGTCCTCCACAGGAGCTAGCTTAAATGCTGCTCGATAGGGCAGCTTTTAAGCTAGTCTATAATAAAATGTGCATTGCAGTTTTGGATACAAAAGGAAAATAAGAGTTATTCCCCTTGAACGATGAAAGAAACGATAATGGTTAGTTTATTTTATTATTTTTAACTTTGCATAATCTTAGCTCAACAGAAATCGTTCCTTGCACCTAAATTTTTTTAGAGCTTTTGAATGAGCTACGAATATTTG